AAGTCCCTCTCCCCGACCCATCCTCACCACCGGGATATCTACATAATCAAAATTAAAATTTCGTTTCGGAAAGAAGTGGGATCAGTGTTGAACAGTGTTTAAGCCCGTGAATTCAGCACTCGACAGTACCAGTGAAAGCCACGACCCACCAGTGAGATAAGCACCCCTGGGAACTAACCACCATCTTCTGGCAAGGAGGTGCTAATCCGTCCACCCTGGGAACAACAGAGGGCCGACCGGCTATGCACCTGACTATGGGATAACACAACATCACCGTGAGGTCCTTCATATCAACACCCGAGGACGAGTCACTGTACCACGTGAACACCACACCACCCGGTGTCTCTATGACCACATGAAGTCCTTCATATCAACGCCTGAGGATGAGTTACTACACCACGTGAACACCACACCACCCGATGTCTCCATGACCACGTGAGATCCTTCATATCAAATACCGAGGACGAGTTACCACACCACCCGATGTCTCCATGACCACGTGAGGTCCCTCATATCAACACACGAGGACGAGTTACTACACCACGTGAACACCTCACCACCTGGTGTCCCCATGACCAGCCCACGCCCGGGCCATCAACTGTAAACTATAATAATTTGTATTTTCAATCATTGTTCCTTCTTCTTTTAGTAATGAAAGCTTTTGCTAAATGACTCACCCAACCCATGTCTTTGCATATAATAAGTCATTTTCAGCCTTCGGGCTGCTGACTTTTTAAATAAACCTTTAATTATTATTATTATTACACACACACACACACACCACGAAGCTCTTCGGCGACACTATAAATAACTAAATTGGAAAACACATGTCAGCGAAGTCGTTAAATCCTCCAGTTTTCGTCTCCACCTCCTCCGCCGACTCAAGTCCCTCGGAGTTCCTGCGCCTGAGCTCCTTAGTGTTACACAACATTCATACTTCCCAAGCTCACCCATGCCTCTCCTGCTTGGTCTTCCTCCCTAAATGCCACACAATGTAAACAACTAGAAAAAGTGCATGCAAGATTATTCTCTCCCCTTCCTCCTCCACATATCAAGAAGCGCTCAACACACTGACCCTCTCGGCTTTCTCTGATTATCACCATAACCTAACCTGCAAATTTGGTGAAAAGCTTCTGCACCATCCTCGACACCAGCTCCTCCTACCACCTGAGATCCCTCATCAGCGAATTGCTGTTCGACACCACAACCGCATCCAGCCCATACGAGCACGTACTGATCACTATAAGAACAGCCCAGTCCCAACCATTGCAATAATTACCCTGTATCAATAACTTGTAATCAACCAGTGTATTCACTCCCAATCAATATTATCTTTTTGCACTGTCACTATGTTGAAATGCCCTGTAGTTTGACCTTCTCCCCACCTAGTTATTATATATCATATTTGTATCACTTATGTTTCTTGTATATTATTTGTCAATCATGAGACCCATTCCCCAATTATGTAACTGTATATTTACAGCCTTCTGGCTGCCATGCTCTTTCAATAAACCGTTAATTTTCATTATTATTATTATCACACACACACACATCACCTAATGTAAGATCATCAAACAAATATTCCCTCCAGCAAATTGTATTAAAAAGTACTACTGTATATTCATTTTTTGTAAATTACTATTTTCATTACAAACTCACCAGCAAGTATAGTACAGTATGCTGTATTATGATAATTAAATATGAATCTATAGGATATTACCATGTCTGCCACCCTGTATGCACTGTGTCTGCCACCCTGTGTGCACCATGTCTGCCACCCTGTATGCACCGTGTCTGCCACCCTGTAAGCACCGTGTCTGCCACCCTGTATGCACCGTGTCTGCCACCCTGTAAGCACCGTGTCTGCCACCCTATATGCACCATGTCTGCCACCCTGAATGCACCATCTACACAATAGAGATATTAACCCACAAATAATGAAGGAAGGTGAAGGCACCAGCAGCTACCTGTAGGGTACCATTACAGTATATAGAGTTCACTATATATTTGTATTGAAATAATAATTTAGGAAATATTTTAATAGTTTTAAAAGAATGTTCTTAGAGGAAATATTATTGTGTTTGACAGTTTCCACCGGTACAGTACTTACGTCAGCTCAGTGTGTCGTTTGGCATCTTCCTGTAAACATTGTCAACCGCTGTATTGAGTCTAGCAAGTTCCACCGTGCATCAACTGATCACAGTGTCAATAGCAGACAATGTTCCCAATGCTGAATCTTACTGGGCAAGTCCGCTAATTATATAGATTATATAGGACAAAATGAAGTTCCTTATTAGCAACATCCAGTGAGGTTTAAAAAAAAAAAAAAAAAAAAAAAATATATATATATATATATATATATATATATATATATATATATATATATATATATATATATATATATATATATATATATATATATATATATATATATATATATATATATATATATATATATATATATATATATATATATATATATATATATATATATATATATATATATATATATATATATATATATATATATATATATATATATAAATATCTCCGTTGTTTCCATTTTCCCGTGTGATTTTATCAAAATTTATCTTATCCACGTTTTCATTGTGGATTTACATATATATATATATATATATATATATATATATATATGCAAGTAAATCACTGTAGGTGCGCGTGATCTAGGTATATGCTGATAAACACAACGAAAGAAGAAAACACTTATTTCGCAAGCGCTTTCGTGTAATTCACATCGTCAGGGGTGAGTACAGACTAGAGAGAGAAATACAAACCAAGGTGTATATATACAGAGGAGGGTGAGACCAGGCCCACAATGGTCAGGTATTAGGTAAAGACCCTACTAATCTTTAAATAGCACACAACGGTTGGTGGTCAGGTCAGATGGTCGGGTGACCCGGCCTTCTCACCTGGTTACAAATCTTCTTAATTACAAAATTGTCCAGCTTGTACATGCCGTTACTCAAATTCATGTTGAATGCTTCTGTATGTTTAATAAGACTAGATTCTATGATGTTCCTACTATCAATTGAATTACATGGTAATATTGAGGAGGCATTATCCCAGTCAATGCAATGCTTGTTATCCCTCAAATGAACAAACAGAGCATTGGATTCCTGGCCTGTCCTAACACTGCATTTGTGTTGTTTAATTCTAGTTGCAAGATCTTTTCCTGTCTGGCCTAAGTAAAACATATTACATTCCTTGCAAGGAACTTTATAAATGCAACCAATTGTGTTGTTGGGGGAGTTCTTGATTAACATTTGTTTAACAGTGCATGAGTTTCTAACTCCAATATCAAGAATAATATGGATCTGGTTGATAAACTCAATAACTTACGCATTAATTATGAGTTTAAACTGGTCAGTTTTGATGTAACATCACTCTTTACAAAGGTCCCAGTTGATGATTTACTAGAGTTCCTCATAGATTCCCTGGATGATATTTCACTGCCCGTCTCGAAAGACGACTTCATCGAACTCATCAAACTATGTATTAAGGATTGCAAATTCGAATTCAATGGAGAATACTACGCTCAAAAATTTGGTATGGCAATGGGTAATCCACTCTCACCTGTATTAAGCAACCTATATATGGAATTCTTTGAAAAGAAACTATTAAGTAATATTTTACCACCCTCAGCAATCTGGTTTAGATATGTTGATGATGAATTATGTCTCTGGCCATGTAATGAGGACCTAAAAGCTTTCCTGCCACAACTTAACAACTTAGCCCCCTCGATCAAATTCACTGTGGAATTAGAGCAAGACTGTAAATTGCCATTCCTAGACTGTCTGATACACAGAATAGGTAACACGTTTAAGTTCAGTATTTATAGAAAACCAACTAATGTGTGTTCATACATGCATTATTATTCTGCCCACCATAATAAAGTCAAACAGTCAGTATTTTCAACAATGTTTTTACGTGCTTTGAGAATTTGCAGCCCGGAATTCATTGATGAGGAATACAAATATATATATAATATTGGCTCAAACCTTAAATATCCTAGATCTTTCATAGACAAATGCCTAAACATTACTAAGAAAACTTTTTATAGAACTGATCCCAAGCCCGCCCATGACCATAAGAATATCTTAATATTGCCACTTCACAAAAAATTCTCACACATTCCTTCACAACTAAAATCCTGGAACGTCAATGTGGCATTTAAAAACTCATGCACTGTTAAACAAATGTTAATCAAGAACTTCCCCAACAACACAACTGGTTGCATTTATAAAGTTCCTTGCAAGGAATGTAATATGTTTTACTTAGGCCAGACAGGTAAAGATCTTGCAACTAGAATTAAACAACACAAATACAGCGTTAGGACAGGCCAGGAATCCAATGCTCTGTTTGTTCATTTGAGGGATAACTTGCATTGCATTGACTGGGATAATGCCTCCACAATATTACCTTGTAATTCAATTGATAGTAGGAACATCATAGAATCTAGTCTTATTAAACATACCGAAGCATTCAACATGAATTTGAGTAATGGCATGTACAAACTGGACAATTTTGGAATTAAGAAGATTTGTAACCAGGTGAGAAGGCCGGGTCACCTGACCATCTGACCTGACCACCAACCGTTGTGTGCTATTTAAAGATTAGTAGGGACATTACCTAATACCTGACCATTGTGGACCTGGTCTCATCCTCCTCTGTATATATACACCTTGGCTTGTATTTCTCTTTAGTCTGTACTCACCCCTGAAGATGTGAATTACACGAAAGCGCTTGGGAACTTCGTGTTTTCTTCTTTCCTCGTGGTTATCAGCATATACCTAGATCACGCGCACGCGTCCAGGCGGGGTGAGGTTGTTGTATATATATATATATATATATATATATATATATATATATATATATATATATATATATATATATATATATATATATATATATATATATATATATATATATATATATATATATATATATATGAAAAAGTATTTCATGAGGAAGACATTTACCAGAGAAAGGTTTAAGGAAGAGTGCCAGATCTTTGATACACTTGACGGCCATTAAGTAGTTACGAGAGTGAGTGGCAGGTACAGGTGGAGGAGGGGGCAGCTCCCCCTCCTCCACACTTGTCCCAGCCCCCACTAGTGACAGCAGTGCACCATTTACAGGAAGTTGGTCAAGCTCCAGCCTCATCACAGTCTGGAAAACAAGATGAACATTATTCCCTCTGGCCCTAACTAACAGCTTTCTACCTCAGTAACATATAAAATGGCTTCACTCAAATAAACATTAGCAAACGATTAAACAATAAATGAAGATTGATCCTGAAATCCCACTAATTGATGATAGGTTAGCAAGTGGCCTAACTTATCTATAGAGAGCCATCATGTTTGTTGGCTGCAGCCATATCTGAGTCACACAAATACTGTAACTGCTATCGAAGGTCACAACACCATAAGGAAACACGACCTTCCTGCTAGAAATCAATTCTTGTGCAGATTAAGGATTTGTGGCCCAAAAAATGAAATTCTGAAAATTACTTGTTCTAAAAAATACTGAAGTTTGCAATTTAGATACAGTAAGTCCTCGTTTAACGTTGCCCCCGTTAACGTTGTTTCGTTATAACGTTGCTACTCTTTAGATACCAATAATTCGGTTAACGCCCTGACGACTCAAAATTAACGTCGTTTTTGTGTCGTCACGGACTACTTTGTATGGAGCATTAATCTCTCTCTCGTCTTGCCGCACTGCGCTCTATCAGCTTGGTGTGTTACCTCTCACTCGCGGAACGTCACACAGTGTACCCAAGTGATGCCAGTCTTTGTTAGGTTTCCACAGCATTCTTACGTGTTCAAGTGTTTTTTGCTCGTAATGCTGTACTCTAACCATTTGAAATGGCTTCCAAGCACCCATCAAGTGCTACTGATGCTAGTATTGTGAAGAAGCAAAGTAAGACCATTAGCCTTGCGATGAAAATGGAGGTTTTAACCCATTTTGAAAAAGGGGAACGTGCAGTGCACATTGCTGGTGAGCTTGGACTAACCCAGGGGTAGGCAATTATTTTTGATGGAAGGCCACTTCATGAATGGTGGCACACTTCGCGGGCCACAGGTTAACAGCAATGAGCCAGTATTGGTGCTATGTCCACCCAACTTCCAAAATTGTCCTTTCTGTAATTAATAAGAATTTTTTTTTCTGATTGCCAAATGCAGTGGCGGGCCACAGAAATAATTTGGCGGGCCAAATGTGGCCCACGGGCCGCACTTTGCCCACCCCTGGACTAACCCCTACAACAGTGAGTACTATCTGGACCAACACTTCCAGCTAGTGCTGGAAGTGGTAGTTCTCTGAGTGCAACAAAGACACATTAAGGTTATCCAGCATAAAGCAAAATCCTTGTTTGACGACTTAAAGGCAGAAGAGGGTGAAGGATCAAAGGAAGAGACCTTTACGGCCCACCGAGGATGGTTTCATTATAACTTCCATAACATTAAAATGACTGGTGAAGCTGCCAGTTCAGATACGGTTGCTGCCGAGATATTCCCGCCTGAATTTAAAAACATTATCGAGGAAGGAGGCTTCTCAGCGAAGCAAGTCTTTAATGTGGATGAGACTGGTCTCTTTTGGAAGAGGATGCCAGATAGAACCTATATCTTAAAGGAAGAGAAAAGAGCGCCAGGTTTTAAAGCGGCAAAAGAACGTTTAACGCTGCTGCTTGGTGTGAACGCTGCTGGCGACTTCAAGCTGAAGCCTATGCTAATTTCTCGCGCTGCCAACCCACAGGCCCTGAAAGGTTACTCCAAGGATCACCTTCCTGTCATTTACAAGGCAAATAAGAAGGCATGGATAACCAGTGCCATATTTAGCCAGTGGTTAACCGTGTAAGCCGTCTCTGCAATGAAGGAATATGCGCCAAGGAGAACCTTGACTTCAATATTCTTCTGATCCTTGACAATGCTCCAGCTCATCCTCCCAATATTGATGACTTACATGAGACTGTTCGAGTTGTCTTCCTGCCTCCCAACATGAGAGCACTGATGCAGCCTATGGATCAAGGCGTCATCACTGCATTCAAGGAGTATTATTTATGGCGTACGATGGCTCAACTGCGAAAGGCTACTGACGGAGAAAATAAACCTATGAGTAGGACAGGAGGATGAATGCAAAATCCAGGAACCAAGCAAAGTCAGAGTGTAGAAGGGCTGAAAAGGAGTTCCAGAGGTTGGTTGCAAGCAAGGTCAAGTCAAACCCAGAGGCGTTTTACCGCTATGCAAAGTCAAAATTAAAAACGCGAGTAGGACTATCGGACCTGAGGTTTGACACAGCGCTGACCCACATTGTGTTCTCAGAAGAGGTTATAAGAAATAAATTGTCAAAGCTAAAGGTTCACAAGAGTCCTAGCCCTGACATGGTGCATCCCAGAGTGCTGAGAGAGTTGTGCAAAAAGTTTGCCGAGTCCCTGAAGATCCTGTTCTGTAAATGCCTGGATGAGCAAAAGGTCCCCAGTGATTAGAGAATGGCTTATGTGAGTCCTATTTTCAAGAAGGGAAATTGTCACTCAACAAATAATTATAGACCAGTGAGCCTGACCACCATAGTATGTAAAGTGCTTGAGAGCAACATAACAGTTGCCATGATGAAACATCTACTCCCAAACAACCTTGTAATGATTGGCAACACGGTTTTATACCGGAACACTCCTGCTTAACACAATTACTCAAGGTACTGGATGTTTGGACCCAAATTCTGGAACAGGGTGGCAATATTGACAATATATATGTAGATTTTGCCAAGGCTTTCAACAGCATACCCCATGAAAGGCTGAGAATTAAACTGGAAGGGTACATGATTTGTTCAAAGAAATGTACATTTCCTTTATGTGTTTGCCCTTAGGACAATTATTTCTTTTACTGTACCTATATTGTATATATGTGTGTGTGTGTGTGTGTAGACACACACACAAAACACATACGCACAAATAAATAATGATGGGAAAATCCTTTCACAAATAACCAGAAACAATTATATATTAAAAATGTTGAGTCTACCCTCAAGTCTACTCCGTGCTATATTATTAATAAAGCACGGAGTAGACTTGAGGGTAGACTCAATTTTTTTTATACATTTGTTTCTGTTTATTTGAGTGAGGATTTTCCAATTACTATTTATTTGTATGTGTTTTGTGTGTGTGTGTGTGTGTGTGTCTATACATACACACAATACAGGTAAAGGAAATTACTGTCTCTAGAGCAAATGGCTCTCTGTCCCGGCCACAAAAATGCCAGAAACTTTAAAACTACCCTTAGACATTCTTGGGTACATCCTGGGTATCATCCACGAATAATAGAAGACCGCGAATTAAAATTCCACAAATTTGAAGGGCATGCTGTATTGTAATTCATATTGCTAGGAATATTAGAGCAATCATTATGATAAATTCGTTATTGATATGTACAATCTGTCATAAGTAATCTCTCTGTTAGCCAGAATCTTGAATCCCCAGAGCTTTCCAATGCCTGAAATTCTGGGAAAAATTTCTCCATTCCGGGCAGGGGAACAAATTTGCGAGAGATTGCATCATATTTCCAATGAGGGGATGCATGCTAGGCACCTGAGCTATGTTTGGTCATTATTGTCATGTGACTGCAAGGGATGTCTATGATTGGCTGATGTATCTCACAGCCTATCTCCTCAAAATCTTGCATCATGACACTCTTAGTTCATAGTCTGCTGCCATTGTACAAGCTCTTTCACTCGCTCACTGTTGTTTTCACAAATGATTCAGGTGGTACTGTACTGTACCAGCATATAATCACTCAAGAATACAGTTAAAGCAGTGTTAAGATATAAAAAGTGATACATCTACTGTACTTTACATTTAGTAAATGTGAAACTACCATATGTACAGGAAAAGGGAAAACTGGAACACCTTAGCTTTCATCTTCATCAGGACATCTTCAGAGGCAACTGAATTTAAAGGGACTGAGAGTAGAGCTTACATACAAAGGGTGACCTCACATAGCATCAGGTCAGGTCAATAACATAAAACCCAATAATCCCCCACTCCAAATGAGAGACGTGATTATACAGGTGTTGCCCATTATACGATTGATTGATATACAATCGATCGGTTTTATGGGATTAAGAAATTAACACCAAATACCGCTATGTGATCGGTTAGATCAGTTGTGATGGGTGCTACCCGATGGCTACCCAAATGCTTTTCCTGCATTGTCACTGCTTTGAAAAAGTGATGTGCAATATCTCGCAATATTTCGAGACGATGACGCAATCTTGGAATGCCGTAAAAACTCTGCCTGCCCCTTGTGACTGCCAGGCTGAGCAGCTGAAGTGTGTCACATCACCCAGAGGATGATTTGCATGTGAAAAAAGTTATTCTCTGAACATATAATAATACACAGTATACTTACCAGTAAATGTGAGGAGTAAAGAGAGAAATAATAAATAAAATATAAGAAAAAATGTTGCATTGCCATTTGATAATGGTGTCACTTTACACGGGACCGCAGACAGTGAGCCGAGATTCCCCCATGCCACTCCCCCTCCTCCGCTCTCTATGCTAGCTCCCACACACGTAAGAAATGGTTATTCATTTTATGTTTTTGACCTTATAATAATTAATTCTTTTAATTTGTTTGCACATTCTGTGTGAAAGATTGTGTGTGCATGTAACAGAGTAAAAAAAAAATAGGTCTACCTGAAATTACAAATTGGAAAATAACCACTAAGTGCTAACTCTGACTCTTCAGGGTCTAAAAACAGAACCCATTTTCCCCCATCAGCTATTAAGATAGATCACCTTACGATGGTTTTTTGATGTCCTAACCCCATTGTATAATGGTCAACACCAGTATTATACTGTAAAATAATAATTGTCCAAATCACTTTAAATTTGAGTATGAGCAACACTATTGTATAGGTCTACATAACTTAATTTATAAAAAAATCAAACAAATCCGCCAGTATATGATTTTTTTCTAAAAATTTCAGTCGGATTAAATTTTTGAAGCTGTGGATAACCTGTAACAAGCTGTGCTTTATACTGTACACAGTTGCCTGACGCTATCAGATTACTCAATACCTACTGTACAGTACTGTACTTTAAGTAAGCCAGACAAGAGCAAAGTTTGTGACTGCTGGGTTCAGGTTCACATAAATATACCTTGTAGTATCACTGCTGGCTCACTGGTAAAAGTAAAAAGTAACCACGAATATTACCCCAACTTGTTTAACAATCCTTGGTTAGACTGGTAGACCAACTAATTGGGCATAATTCCCAATAATGCAACACTGCTTCAGAGCACAGATGAAGGCAAGCTCACTCTTGCCACAGGTGTTCTGGAGGGATATTCCTAATCATCTACCACATCACTCAAACACCATTAACCCCCATTTATTATTCATTCTTTCAAAACAATGCTTGAAACTTTTATCCTCAAAATGTTAAGCCATTGTCTTTGAGTATCTGTAGTCAAACCCTCATCCTATTGCTATTAAATAAATTTTCATTTAAAACATCATTTTCAAGGGGCTACTATAGCTATTTGAAATGAACTCACAAAGCTTTTTCTTAAGTGCATAAAAAATTTTAGAAGCAAAAATCACAATGATAAAATCAAAGAACAAAAGTTAAATAAATGAGAACCCACCTGGTCATAAGGGCACTGGTTGCGCTGCAGCTTGGCCAGGCAGGCCCGGCAGACGGTGTGTCCGCAGCCCAAGCTGATGGGTCCACGCTGACCACTGTCAAATTCATGGCAGCAAATGGGACACGAGAGAAACTCGGTCCACTGAGGGGCCTGGATCGGCATCCTCCCAGGCTCATGCTACAAGTTCCTGTCCAAATATACATTACATGTAAGTTTTTATTAATTATATAACAACAATATAGTGTTTACCTTTCTAATATTTTACACTACAGTATAATAGTAACAATGTGAACAACTGGTAAACCTAAGCGGTATCAGTAAGAAGACCTGTTCTTCACATATAGTCAGGCAGCTTGGCAATATATGTTTTTTTTTAGGGATTAGCCCACCGGGCACAGGTCACTGACCCACATGGGACCCTGGGGCGAAAATTTAATAATAGTAATTCATAGTAAATAAAATTTATAATAAAAGTAAAATAAAATAATAATAACAACACTGTAATAATGATAATAAAGAAAAGAAAAATACTAATCAATAGTGAGAAACGCTATATGTATAGTATGTTGTGTTGTCAATAGTAAGAGAAACAATTGAGATCCTGCAATTGTGTGTAAATGAGGCAGAAAGACAGATCAGCAACCTGGGACTTGGTCACAATATTCGTGATGCCATATGGCAGCAGGGTCTACCATTAGACAACACATTATGCTTCCAATATCTTTCCAGGCGGTAGTACCTCCCTGTTTGATAGCTGCCTACTACATTCCAGAAAAAAGCACCAAATTTTCCCCACACCTCTCCATTGCCTTAGTTTTCATTTTGATAAGAATCACTTTCTCCAGATACATTATACAGTATTAATCATTTTGGATTTTCAAGATGGCTGCTCTGGACTTCTTAACCACTTAGGATCACAATATTGGTGACTAAACATACATTTTCAGGGTCAAGGAATACTACTGCAGGCAGTCTCCAACTTACGACAGGATCGTTCCTGGACCCTGATCAATAAGTCGATTTGTTTGTAAGTCAGAATAGTGTTAATTCCATAGTTTAGGTTAGATTAAGCCACAACCCTGCCCATACAAAACAACATTACAATAATATCCCAAACATAAATACTGTAAATAAAGTAATATTAAACAATGTAAAGGGTGATTCAGCAAAGAGTACATTAACCCTTAGGCCCCGGGTGATGTTCCAGAACCTCCGCCTATTTTCCGCCATTTTTTTTATTTATTTAATTTTTATTTCTTTATTTTTTATTAGTTTTGGAAAAATTTATTTTTCCTCGCTTTAACTCGGGGGTTTACTGCCAGCAGCACCCTAACCCAGGGCTTATGAGTTAAATTGGAGGATGAAATCCTTGGATAATTCTAAACTACAATGTCTCTATGGTAAAATGTTAGATTCTGGATATTCCCACGTGTTTGTGACAGGTGCGAGCAAATTAAACATAGTCCAGGCATTCTGGAACGCGTTCAGACAATCAATGGTATGACAAGTACAGGCCTGCATTGAGGCAGAAAGACGGGCAACATTTCTTTTAATAAATAAAGAGTCACACTGTAGAGATATCTGAATAAATGATTACAAAAACCTACTGGGGTTTCACTTCAAATTCACTCATTAATACAACATCTTAAATGTATTGTAACATGGAAACTATGCAAAATCTGACATTTTATCATAGAGACATTGTGATTTAGAAATATCCAAGGATATCATCTTCCAATTTAATGTACTCTTTGCTGAATCAACTTGTAGAATACTGAAAATAATTATATTTTTAGATGAATATATGAGGATCCTGTTTGTAAGTGCAGGTGTCGTAAGTCGGGGACTGCCTGTATACCACACCAGCATCAGAGAGGAAACAGTGACACACACACACACACACACACATACACACACACACACACACAATAAACAACTCCTGATTTATGTACTGTACAGCCCTGTAAATGTATTCAACACATATTATATCATTATATCTAAATCAAATGTAAGTCTGTATATTTTCAGTCACCGGCTGCAACTCTATTAATAAACCGTTTATTACACTTATTATTATTATTTACACACACACACACACACACACACACCAGCATCAGAGGAGGAAACCCAGCAAATTTAAGTATTTTAAGTTACCGCTGTCCGAGAGGTTTGTTTAAAGTAGGTTAGGTAAGATTGAAATTATGTTTTTCCGATAGTTTTTGAAGGCTTTTGAATGATTCTGACCAACTTCCAATTAGGTGTATGACCAAAATTACAATTTTACCATATTTTTTTTTCTTTTTCACTCCTAAACTGTTTGCTGGTGTTTGTGGATTAATTACCAAGTTTTCTTCAATAGTTACTTTTTTAGGTGCCAAAATGACCTTAATGACGTTTCTTAAATATCACCATGAGTGAGTGAAAGTTGCTACAGTAAGAATAGTTAGTCTCCAAACTGCCTTCCTTGACTGTCAAATGGGTATTATTATTGTTTCGGTCATGTAGAGAATTTTAGAATTTTACGGTTAGGTTATGTTGAGGTTAGGTGTAGGTTAGGTTAGGTTATGTTGAGGTTAGGTGTAGGTTATGTAATGTTTAGATTAGGTTAGGTTGAAATTATATTTTTCCCGATGGGTTTTGAACGCTTCTGACCTACTACCAAATAAGTGGATGACCGAAATGATAATTTTAACGTCAAATGTAAGAAACCTTTCACTATATACAAAACTTTACCTCCAGGGATGTATTTAACCCATAGATCTTTCTCTGTTGAATAAATCGTTTGGATAACATTAAGCTGGCAGTAGTGTAGTGCTGAATAACATTAAGCTGGCAGTATATAGTGTAGTCCAGGATAACATTAAGCTGACTGTAAAGTGTAGTCCTGGATAACATTAAGCTGGCAGTATATGTGTAGTCATGGATAACATTAAGCTGGCAATAGTGTAGTCCTGAATAACATTAAGCTGGCAGTAGTGTAGTCCTGAATAACATTAAGCTGGCAGTAGTGTAGTCCTGGATAACATTAAGCTGGCAGTATATAGTGTAGTCCAGAATAACATTAAGCTGACTGTAAATAGTGTAGTCCTGAATAACATTAAGCAGTATATAGTGTAGTCCTGAATAACATTAAGCTGGCAGTAGTGTAGTCCTGGATAACATTAAGTCAGTATATAGTGTAGTCCAGAATAACATTAAGCTGACTGTAAATAGTGTAGTCCTGAATAACATTAAGCTGACTGTATATAGTGTAGTCGTGGATAACATTAAGGGTATATGTGTAGTCATTAAGCTGTGAGTGCAGAGGTCTTATAATAGAGTAAAGGGACACAGTACTCACCAATTATTTGTTAGGGTAATGTCACAAGTCTCGCCAAGAAGCTTATTGGACCCAACATAGAGAGTTAACTGTGGAGCATCACATTACTTATTTGACATTTATCTTGGTGAGTGTGTGTACTGAAGAGGAATTATTGGGAAAATAAATTAGTCCCGATCAGATCTATTTCTGTTATATTTGGTTCATTTACTTTTATATCCACTTTGTTTTGTCTTCAGGTCAGAGATCACACATATAAAACCTGGTTAACAACACAACAATTCTTTTATTGCTATGCTTGTAAAAACCCTCGTTACATGTTACGAAATATGTCAGTTAATATTATTTTTAATAAATTATTCAAATATAAAGTTAAAATAATGTAATAATTAAAAAAAATATATAAAATAGTTTTAAAATATAACATACATAAATAGTCATACATAACTAAAACTGTATATAATTCAAATGTATATATATATATATATATATATATATATATATATATATATATATATATATATATAATAATAATAATAATTAATAAATCTTCAAATAAATGGTTTTACCTTTTATATTTGAGTTCCTTATATAGCATCCTAGTATATATAACAGGAATAAAACATATCTGTTAAATAATTCTTTACAAATAAAGTAAAAATATAAATAAATTAAAATACATATATAGGGTGACTAAGAAGTGGACCAGGCAACACGGACAACAACACACGCACGAGTCATTGTTTTGTTCTATGTTGTGAAAATGATTTGAAAATGGCAGCCGTGATAGAGCTGCTCCTACAGGGCCAGTTGTCCCCCCACCACCTGCCTGGCTCCACGGGGCCTCACCGGTGAGTACCTGTCTCATGTACAGCTGTCTCCGTGATAGAGCTGCTCCTACAGGGCCAGTTGTCCCCACCACCTGCTGCTGTGGCCCACGGGGCCTACCGGTGAGTACCTGTCTCATGTACAGCTGTCTCCCGTGATAGAGCTGCTGCTACAGGGCCAGTTGTCCTCCCACCACCTGCTGCTGTGGCTCCACGGGCCTCACCGGTGAGTACCTGTCTCATGTACAGCTGTCTCTGGTGATAGAGCTGCTGCCAGGGCCAGTTGTCCTCCCACCACCTGCTGCTGTGGCTCAACGGGGCCTCACCGGTGAGTACCTGTCTCATGTGCAGCTGTCTCTGGTGATAGAGCTGCTGCTACAGGCCAGTTGTCCCACCACCTGCTGCTGTGGCTCCACGGGGCCTCGGTGAGTACCTGTCTCATGTACAGCTGTCTCTGGTGATAGGCTGCTACAGGGCCAGTTGTCCTCCCACCTGCTGCTGTGGCTCACAGGGCCTCACCCTGTCTCATGTACAGCTGTCTCCCGTGATAGAGCTGCTCCTACAGGCAATTTCCACCACCTGCTGCTGTGGCTCCACGGGGCCTCACCGGTGAGTACCTGTCTCACAGCTGTCTCCCGTGATAGAGCTGCTCTGGGGCCAGTTGTCCCCCACCTGCTGCTGTGGCTCAGGGCCTCGGTGAGTACCTGTCTCATGTAGCTGTCTCCGGTGATAGAGCTGCTCCTAAGGCCAGTTGTCCCACCTGCTGCTGTGGCCTGGCCTGATACCTGTCTCGCTGTCTCCCGTGATAGACTGCTCTGGGCAGTTGTCCCCCACCTGCTTGCCAGGGGCCTCACGGTGGTACCTGTCTATGTACTGTCTCCCGTGATAGACTGCTCACAGGGCAGTTGTCCCTCCACCTGCTGCTGTGGCTCCACGGGCCTCACCGGTGAGTACCTGTCTCATGTACAGCTGTTGATACTGCTGCTACAGTGTCTCCACACTGGCTGGCTCCGGGTGGTACCTGTCTCATGTCAGCTGCCTCGTGTAGGCTCCTGGGCCAGTTGTCCTCCCACCACCTGCTGCTGTGGCTCCGCAGGTCACGGTGAGTACCTGTCTCATGTACAGCTGTCTCCGTGATAGGCTGCTACAGGGCAGTTGTCCTCCACCACCTGCTCCTGTGGCTCCACGGGCCTCACCGTGATACCTGTCTCATGCAGCTGTCTCCGTGCTGCTGCCATAGGGTGTCCACCTGCTTGTGGCTCCACGGGGCCTCACCGGTGAGTACCTGTCTCATGTACAGCTGTCTCCCGTGATAGAGCTGCTGCTACAGGGCCAGTTGTCCTCCCACTGCTGTGGCTCCACAGGGCCTCACCGGTGAGAACCTGTCTCATGTACAGCTGTCTCCTAGAGCTGCCCTACAGGGCCAGTTGTCCTCCCACCACCTGCTGCTGTGGCTCCACGGGGCCTCACCGGTGAGTACCTGTCTCTGTACAGCTGTCTCCGTGATAGACTGCTGCTACAGGGCCAGTTGTCTCCCTGCTGCTGTGGCTCCACGGGCCTCACCGGTGATACCTGTCTCATGTACAGCTGTCTCCCGTGATAGAGCTGCTCTAGGGCCAGTTGTCCCCCACCTGCTGCTGTGGCTCCCAGGGGCCTCACCGGTGGTACCTGTCTCATGTACAGCTGTCTCCCGTGATAGAGCTGCTGCTAAGGGGCCAGTTGTCTCCCACCTGCTGCTGTGGCTCCACGGGCCTCACCGGTGATACCTGCCTGTACCGCTGTCTCCCGTGATAGAGCTGCTCCTGGGGCCAGTTGTCCTCCACCACCTGCTGCTGTGTGGCTCCAGGCCTCACGGTGAGTACCTGTCTCATGTACAGCTGTCTCCCGTGATAGAGCTGCTGCTAGGGCCAGTTGTCCTCCCACCACCTGCTGCTGTGGCTCCACGGGGCCCCTCACGGTGGTACCTGTCTCATGTACAGCTGTCTGTGATAGAGCTGCTCTAGGGCCAGTTGTCCTCCCACCACGTGGCTCCACGGGGCCTCACGGTGAGTACCTGTCCTGTACAGCTGTCTCCCGTGTGATAGAGCTGCTCTCAGGGCCAGTTGTCCCCCACCACCTGCTGCTGTGGCTCCACGGGGCCTCACCGGTGAGTACCTGTCTCATGTACAGCTGTCTCCGTGATAGAGCTGCTCCTACAGGGCCAGTTGTCCCCACCACCTGCTGCTGTGGCTCAGCTCGTCTGTCTCATGTACAGCTGTCTCGTGATAGAGCTGCTCTCGGGTTGTCCTCCCACACCTGCTCTGCAGGGGCCTCACCGGTGAGTACCTGTCTCATGGCTCTCCGTGATAGGCTGCTGCTACAGGGCCAGTTGTCCTCCACCACCTGCTGCTGTGGCTCCACGGGCCTCTGGATACTGTCTCATGTACAGCTGTCTCCGTGATAGAGCTGCTCCTACAGGCCAGTTGCTCCCACCACCTTGCTGGCTCCACGGGCTCACCGGTGAGTACCTGTCTCATGCTGTCTCCCTGATAGACTGCTCCTAGGGCCAGTTGTCCCCACCCTCTGCTGTGGCTCCAGGCTCACCGGTGAGTACTTCTTCTCCTGTGCTGTTCGTACAGCTGTCTCGTGATAGAGCTGCTCCTACAGGGCCAGTTGTCCTCCCACCACCTGCTGGCTCACGGGCCTCACGGTGATACCTGTCTCATGTACAGCTGTCTCCGTGATAGAGCTGTACAGGGCAGTTGTCCCCCACCACCTGCTGCTGTGGCTCCACGGGGCCTCCCGGGTGAGTACCTGTCTCATGTACAGCTGTCTCTGGTGATAGAGCTGCTGCTACAGGGCAGTTGTCCTCCACCACCTGCTCTTGGCTCCACGGGCCTCACGGTGAGTACCTGTCTCATGTACAGCTGTCTCTGTGAGTAGGCTGCCACAGGGCCAGTTGTCCCCACCACCTGCTGCTGTGGCTCCACGGGCCTCCGGTGAGTACCTGTCTCATGTACAGCTGTCTCTGGTGATAGAGCTGCTGCTACAGGGCAGTTGTCCCCCACCACCTGCTGCTGTGGCTCACGGGCCTCACCGGTGAGTACCTGTCTCATGCAGCTGTCTCCCGTGATAGAGCTGCTGCTACAGGGCCAGTTGTCCTCCACCACCTGCTGCTGTGGCTCCACGGGCTCACCGGTGAGTACCTGTCTCATGTACAGCTGTCTCTGGTGATAGAGCTGCTGCTACAGGGCCAGTTGTCCCCCACCACCTGCTGCTGTGGCTCCACGGGCCTCACCGGTGAGTACCTGCAGCTGTCTCCCGTGATAGAGCTGCTCCTACGGGCCAGTTGTCCTCCCTGTCTGCTGTGGCTCCGGCCTCACGGTGAGTACCTGTCTCATGTAGCTGTCTCTGGTGATAGAGCTGCTGCCAGGGCCAGTTGTCCCCCACACCTTGTGTGGCTCACGGGGCCTCACGGTGAGTACCTGTCTCATGTACAGCTGTCTCTGGTGATAGAGCTGCTGCTACAGGCAGTTGTCCTCCACCTGCCTTGGCTCACGGGCCTCACGGTGAGTACCTGCCATGTCGCTGTCTCTGGTGATAGAGCTGCTGCGAACCAGTTGTCCCCACCACCTGCTGCTGGCTCCACGGGCCTCACGGTGAGTCCTGTCATGTACAGCTGTCTCGGTGATAGAGCTGCTGCTACAGGCAGTTGTCCCCCACCACCTGCTGCTGTGCCCACGGGCTCACCGTGGTCTGGTGTTGTCCACCTGCTGTGCGGGCCTCACCGGTACCTGTCTCATGTACAGCTGTCTCCTGATAGGCTGCTACAGGGCCAGTTGCCACCCTGCTGCTGTGGCTCCACGGGGCCTCACCGGTGAGTACCTGTCTCATGTACAGCTGTCTCTGGTGATAGAGCTGCTGCTACAGGGTTGTCTCCCACACTGCTGTGCGGGGCCTCACCGGTGAGTACCTGTCTCATGTACAGCTGTCTGGTGATAGAGCTGCTGCTACAGGGCCAGTTGTCCTCCCACACCTGCTGCTGTGGCTCCACGGGGCCTCACCGGTGAGTACCTGTCTCATGTACAGCTGTCTCTGGTGACTGCTGCTACAGGGCCAGTTGTCCTCCACCACCTGCTGTGGCTCCGGGGCCTCACCGGTGAGTACCTGTCTCATGTACAGCTGTCTCTGGTGATAGACTGCTGCTAAGGCAGTTGTCCTCCACCACCTGCTGCTGTGGCTCCACGGGCCTCACGGTGATACCTGTCTCATTACAGCTGTCTCTGGTGATAGAGCTGCTGCTAAGGGCCAGTTGTCCCCCCACCACCTGCTGCTGTGGCTCCACGGGCCTCACCGGTGAGTACCTGTCTCATGTACAGCTGTCTCTGGTGATAGAGCTGCTACAGGGCCAGTTGTCCTCCCACCACCTGCTGCTGTGGCTCCACGGGGCCTCACCGGTGAGTACCTGTCTCATGTACAGCTGTCTCCCGTGAGAGCTGCTGCTACAGGGCCAGTTGTCCTCCACCACCTGCTGCTGTGGCTCCACGGGCCTCCCGGGTGATACCTGTCTCATGTACAGCTGTCTCTGGTGATAGAGCTGCGCTACAGAGGCCAGTTGTCCTCCACCACCTGCTGCTGTGGCTCCACGAGGCCTCGGTGTGCCTGTCTGTACAGCTGTCTCCCGTGATAGAGCTGCTGCTACAGGGCCAGTTGTCCCCACCACCTGCTGCTGTGGCTCCACAGGGCCTCACGGTGAGTACCTGTCTCATGTACAGCTGTCTCTGGTGATAGAGCTGCTACAGGGCCAGTTGTCCCCCACCACTGCTGTGGCTCCACGGGGCCTCACGGTGAGTACCTGTCTCATGTACAGCTGTCTGGTGATAGAGCTGCTGCTACAGGGCCAGTTGTCCTCCCACCACCTGCTGCTGTGGCTCCACGGGCCTCACGGTGAGTACCTGTCATGTACAGCTGTCTCTGGTGATAGAGCTGCTGCTACAGGGCCAGTTGTCCTCCACCACCTGCTGCTGTGGCTCCAGGGCCTCACCGGTGAGTACCTGTCTCATGCACAGCTGTCTCTGGTGATAGAGCTGCTGCTGGGCCAGTTGTCTCCACCACCTGCTGCTGTGGCTCCGGGCCTCACCGGTGAGTACTGTCTCATGTACAGCTGTCTCTGGTGATAGAGCTGCTCCTACAGGGCCAGTTGTCCTCCCACCACCCTGCTGTGGCTCCACGGGCCTCACGGTGAGTACCTGTCTCATGTACAGCTGTCTCTGATAGGCTGCTCCTACAGGGCCAGTTGTCCCCACACTGCTGCTGTGGCTCCGGGGCTCACGGTAGTACCTGTCTCATGCAGTGATAGAGCTGCTCCTACAGGGCAGTTGTCCTCCACCACCTGCTGCTGTGGCTCCACGAGAACTCACAGTGATACCTGTCTCATGGCAATGTCTCCTGGTGATAGAGCTGCTGCTACAGGGCAATTGTCTCCCACCACCTGCTGCTGTGGCTCCACGGGGCTCACGGTGAGTACACTGCCACCATGTAGCTGTCTCTGGTGATAGAGCTGCTGCTACAGGGAACTGGTGTCCTCCACCACCTGCTGCTGTGGCTCACGGGCCTCACGGTGATGCCTGTCTCATGTACGCTGTCTCTGGTGATAGAGCTGCTGCTACAGGGCCGTTGTCCTCCCACCACCTTGCTGTGGCTCAGGGCCCTCCACCGGTGATGCCTGTCTCATGTTACAGCTGTCTCTGGTGATAGAGCTGCTGCTACAGGGCCAGATTCATCCTCCACCACCTGCTGGCTCAGGGGCCTCACCGGTGAGTACCTGTCTCATGTACAGCTGTCTCTCTGGTGATAGAGCTGCTGCTACAGGGCCAGTTGTCCTCCCACCACCTGCTGCTGTGGCTCCACGGGGCCTCACCGGTGAGTACCTGTCTCATGTACAGCTGTCTCTGGTGATAGAGCTGCTGCTACAGGGCCAGTTGTCCTCCCACCACCTGCTGCTGTGGCTCCACGGGGCCTCACCGGTGAGTACCTGTCTCATGTACAGCTGTCTCTGGTGATAGAGCTGCTGCTACAGGGCCAGTTGTCCTCCCACCACCTGCTGCTGTGGCTCCACGGGGCCTCACCGGTGAGTACCTGTCTCATGTACAGCTGTCTCTGGTGATAGAGCTGCTGCTACAGGGCCAGTTGTCCTCCCACCACCTGCTGCTGTGGCTCCACGGGGCCTCACCGGTGAGTACCTGTCTCATGTACAGCTGTCTCTGGTGATAGAGCTGCTGCTACAGGGCCAGTTGTCCTCCCACCACCTGCTGCTGTGGCTCCACGGGGCCTCACCGGTGAGTACCTGTCTCATGTACAGCTGTCTCTGGTGATAGAGCTGCTGCTACAGGGCCAGTTGTCCTCCACCACCTGCTGCTGTGGCTCACGAGGCCTCACGGTGAGTACCTGTCTCATACAGCTGTCTCCCGTGATAGAGCTGCTGCTACAGGGCCAGTTGTCCTCCACCACCTGCTGCTGTGGCTCCACGGGGCCTCACCGGTGAGTACCTGTCTCATGTACAGCTGTCTCCCGTGATAGAGCTGCTGCTACAGGGCCAGTTGTCCTCCCACCACCTGCTGCTGTGGCTCCACGGGCCCTCACCGGTGAGTACCTGTCTCATGTACAGCTGTCTCCCGTGATAGAGCTGCTGCTACAGGGCCAGTTGTCCTCCCACCACCTGCTGCTGTGGCTCCACGGGGCCTCACCGGTGAGTACCTGTCTCATGTACAGCTGTCTCTGGTGTAGGTGCCTTTCATGTACAGCTGTCTCATGTACAGCTGTCTCATATACAACTGTCTCATGTATAGCTGTCTCAAGTACAACTGTCTCATGTACAGCTGTCTCATGTACAGCTGTCTCATGTACAGCTGTCTCATGTACAGCTGTCTCATGTACAACTGTCTCATGTACAACTGTCTCATGTACAGCTGTCTCATGTACAGCTGTCTCATGTACAGTCTCATGTCTCATGTTCAACTGTCTCATGTACAACTGTCGCTCATGTACAGCTGTCTCATGTACAACTGTCTCATGTACAGCTGTCTCATGTACAACTGTCTCATGTACAGCTGTCTCAAGTACAACTGTCTCATGTACAGCTGTCTCATGTACAACTGTCTCATGTACAGCTGTCTCATGTGCTACTGTCTCATGTACAGCTGTCTCATGTACAGCTGTCTCATGTACAGCTGTCTCATGTACAGCTGTCTCATGTACAACTGTCTCATGTACAGCTGTCTCATGTGCTACTGTCTCATGTACAGCTGTCTCATGTACAGCTGTCTCATGTACAATTGGCTCATGTACAACTGGCTCATGTACAACTGTCTCATGTACAACTGTCTCATGTACAGCTGTCTCATGTACAGCTGTCTCATGTACAACTGTCTCATGTACAGCTGTCTCATGTACAACTGTCTCATGTACAGCTGCCTCATGTACAGCTGTCTCATGTACAGCTGTCTCATGTACAGCTGTCTCATGTACAACTGTCTCATGTACAGCTGTCTCATGTACAACTGTCTCATGTACAGCTGTCTCATGTACAACTGTCTCATGTACAGCTGTCTCATGTACAACTGTCTCATGTACAACTGTCTCATGTACAGCTGTCTCATGTACAACTGTCTCATGTACAGCTGTCTCATGTACAGCTGTCTCATGTACAGCTGTCTCATGTACAACTGTCTCATGTACAATTGTCTCACGTACAGCTGTCTCATGTACAACTGGCTCATGTACAATTGTCTCATGTACAACAGTCATGTACAACTGTCTCGTACAGCTGTTTCTCATGTACTGCTGTCTCATGTACAGCTGTCGCTCATGTACAGCTGTTTCATGTACAACTGTCTTATGTACAGCTGTCTCATGTACAGCTGCCTCATGTACAGCTTTTTCATCTGTAGTCATCTCATGTACAACTGTCTCATGTACTGCTGTCTCATGTACCATACAGCTGCCTCTCGTGTTCAACTGCGGTAAAATTGTTGATTCCAGAGGTATTTTTATAGTAGTTCACACAACATTGGTACCCCAAATCTTTTACCATATTCGAAAAAGGCGTCTAATTTTAAGATAATTTTCTTCTATTACATTACCGTCAGAAATGTATAATAATGGAGATAGTGTAGTAGTGCATGCGAAATCTTTCTCTAATTAATTCCATTAATATTCCCTTCATTAATCGTCATGCGCATGTGTTCCTGTACATGTCACGTGGCCAATCAAAATTTTTTTTTTTTTGGCCACCAATTTTCTAATTCTGGATGTTATTGATTCCCTCATATGGTGAGAGTCTGGTTATGTAAAAACACCATGAAAGTTAGGATAGGTCAGGTCAGGTTAGGTTAGGTCATCTAAAAAAGGTTCAGTTTATATGTTTTTCTAGTGTTTTTTGTGTGTTTTGTATTCACTTGGCCATGATTTTTGTCGGACCATGGTTGGTTCTCTCCTCCACCCAATACCCTTGTTCCCAACAGGATCTCCTATCTTGTTGGGGGTAGAAGGTGGCGATAACTAAAAACTGGCAATTTCCGACGGAAATCAATGTCAGAACCAATCAAAACATACAAAAAAAACACTAAAAAAAACATAGTTTTGACTTTCTAACAGAGTTGTGTGAACTACTATCAATTTACCATAACAGCAACCAAAGATCAGATAAAAAAAAGTGTTACCTAACCTAATCTAATGTAATATGGTATAAGAAAATTATCATAGAAAAAATAGCTCTATTAAGTGAAGTGAATTTGCGGAATTCTGTGGTTGCTGTTTACTACTGTACAATATTACCACAACTGTCTCGTGTACAGCTGTGTCTCATTTGTAGCTGTTGTAACAGTGTCATGAGTTTCCCGTCACTTGAGAGTTCCCGCCAATTTTAAGCCAATAGTATGAAGGACTTAGGCCTGTCTTCGACCAATGAGAAAGCCTATGAGGCGTGACGTCATGAAAGTTGTGGCGTCTTTTGTAGGTTGATGCCGTTTGAGAAGCAGAGTCTGTGTTGGAGTTTTGTGTAGGTAGGTGTGGCGATATGGCAGGTAGTTGGGTGTATTCTATTTGGTTAATCCTTAAGTTCCCATTTGTTGTGAGATACGTGGTCTCCGTTTAACTAGCTAGGAAGATAGGTTTATTATTTTGAAGTGAAATTGTTCAACCCTAATTCAATAGATACAGTAACCGTTAATAAGAGTCTTAATTCATCCTTCCCTTATTAAGAAAGAGTGATGTGTTATAAATGCCTTGGTATTATGCAGTAATATGGTGAGTCCTATATATATATATACTGTATATATATATATATATATATATATATATATATATATATATATATATATATATATATATATATATATATATATATATATAATACTGATAATAATAACTCCTGTATTTCCCCTCTGTGAAGTATGATATCATTCGTCTTCCTAACCAGCTTCCCCGAGTCTCCCCGTGGTGTAGGCCTTTCTAGCCTAACCACAAACCATTAGTCCTGTACCCCCCTCCCCTCACACCCTCTCCTCAAACGTAAACAATCATTGTTACAATGTATCATGTACAGCTGTTTCATGTAGCTGCCATTCATGTAGAGCTGTCTCATACAGCTGCCTCTCATTTACAGCTGCCTCTTATCTGTAGCTGTCTCATGTGTAGCTGCCATTCTCGTACAGCTGCCTCTCATGTACAGTTGCCTTGCATGTACAGCTGCCTTGCATGTACAGCTGCCTTGCATGTACAGCTGTCACTCATGTGAAGCTGCCATTCACATACTGCTGCCTCTCATGTACAGCTGTCACTCATGTTTAGCTGCTGTTCACATACAGCTGCCTCTCATGTACAACTGTCACTCTTGTGTAGCTGCTGTTCACATACAGCTGTCACTCGTGTAGCTTCCATTCACATACAGCTGCCTCTCATGTACAGCTGTCACTCAGACACAACTTTCACTCATATACTGCTGCCTCATGTGTTGGTGCCTTTCATGTACAGCTGTGTCATGTACATTGTACAGCTGTCATCATATACAACTGCCTCTCATGTCTAGTTGACTTATGTACAGCTATTACTCATGTGCAGCTGCCTTTCACATACAGCTGCCTTTCATGTGCAGCTGCCTCATGTACAGCTGCCTCTCGTGTACACCTGTCGCTCATGTGTAGGTGCTTTTCATGTACAACTGTCTTTCATCTGTAGCTGTCTCATGTACAGCTGCCTCTTATGTACAGCTGCCTCTCATATACAGCTGTCTCTCATCTGTAGCTGTCTCAGGTGTAGTTGCCTCTCATACAGCTGCCTCTGCACAGTTGCCTTATGTACTGCACCGCTGTCTCTCATGGGCAGAGTTCCTTCAACATTAACCCATTGTGTATGAGGTCCCCTTTCTGCTGAATAAAATGGTCTAGTGTTAGTTAAGTAAAATATTTTAAGTGGCTGAGTCACATAGCAAAGGAGTTATGTGGACCACAAAACATGTGTACCTGTACAGTATTGGCTCTACATTGTTGACATGATCCTGTGAGGGCCACACATACAGCATTCTGGGTAATAGTGTATTAACTTTTTTCTCTTATTTTAGAGTGGAATATTAGAAGAATTGTCCCCTCAGAGAGTGGAGTTTATCCCAGTTTTCCTGAATTTTCTTCGTGATGAATCAAGCAGGTAAGTGTAATACAGGGTATAAAGCTTTTTTAAGAAGCACGGAATAGCTAACGCGTTAACTTTCCCGGACTGTCATTAAAAAATACGACATTGTACTGTGTCTTGGGAATAACTGTTGTACAACACAATCTTCAGAAAACAATAAAATTAGGAGAACTGTTATTTGGACACAATACGAAAAGAAATAGTGAAGAAAATATATAGAAAATTATGGAAAAAAGACAAAAAAGGAAAAAAAGTCAATCAGTCAACAAAACAGTGATCCCTTGGTTAACAAGCGCCTCGGTTAACGAAATTTCGGTTAACGAATTACCTTCCATAGAAGGTATACTATATAATATCTATACATATAATACATGTAAGTAATACTATACCAGTACTTCATTATATTAGCATATATGTATATGTCTTCTGTATCTCTGTGTCTTGTTAACTATGAATAACTGTACTATGCTGTCTTCTTTTATGCTGTTACTGTAACTGTATTTTAATCTTTAACTATAACAACTATACTGTACTGTACTATACTGTACTATGCTATACTATATACTGTACTGTACTGTACTATACTATGCTATACTATACTATACTGTACTGTACTGTATATACTATACATATAATACTATACTATACATATACTATATGCAGTTGTGCTCTGTGTGTCTATTGAACCCACAGGTACCACGTTAAGTGGCTTTGCTTTAAGTGAACAACAGAACATATGGGATTAATTCCTATAGAGACTGGCTGCTTAAACTCCTACTTTTTGGCTTCACACAACTATTTGTAGTAAAATATCTTAACTTGTGATGCACACACAATTAATAATTAAAGAAATATCATGTGTGGGTTTTTAACACTTACATTAGTAGAAAAGATGGCTGGGCAGATGGGATGGGGGTTGGTTCGTGTTGAGGGCAGATTATTGGCCCTCACTTGTATCATTGTATCACTATCTACAGAGGCTTGCAGGGCCTCTTTGTCAAACCTCAAAGTCCATATAAGTCCATATCCTCCTATAATTATCACTATACTGACTTGGGCTTGCGGTGGGTGGCAAAGTGAAGAACTTCGTAATATTTTGATGACTAGGCAACCTTGTGTATCGTGCTTGCAGCATGTGCTGTATTGAATGAACGTTAAGTGAAAGTTCGGTTCTGGCTAGGCACCTCGTATATGAGAAATCACGTTAGTGAAACCAGCGTTAAGCGTGTACAACTATAACTGCTATGCCATACCATTGCATACCATACCATACCGCCATACCACCATACCATACCATACCATACCTGTACTATACTGTACTATACTATACTATCTATGCTATACTATATATACTATACTATACTGTACTATACTATACTATACTATACTATACTATACTATACTATACTGTACTGTACTATACTGAACTATGCTATACTGTACTATACTGTGCTATATCTGTACTGTACTATACTATACTATACTATATCTATATACATACTATACTATTACTGTACTATACTGTCTATACTATACTGAACTGTGCTATGTACTACTATACCATACCATCTGATACTATACTATCTGTACTATACTATACAGTTGTGCCCTGTATGGTCAGTGAACCCACAGGGTACCACGTTAAGTGAAAACCTGCTTAAGTGAACAACAGAACATATGGGATTAATTCTAAAGAGACTGGCCCAACCCCCAAACTCCACTTTTTGACGACACACAACTATGTTGTAGTAAAAATATCTTAACTTTATGATGGTATGCACACACAATTAATAATTAAGAGAAATATCAATAATATGGGTTTTTAACACTTACATTAGTAGAAAAGATGGCTGGGCAGATGGGGATGGGGGTTGGTTCGAGGCAGAGGGCAGATTATTGGCCCTCACTTGTATCAAGTATCACTATCCACCACAGAGGCTTGCAGGGCCTCTTTGTCAAACCCCTCAAAGTCCATATAAGTCCATATCCTCACTATAATTATCACTATCACTGACTTGGGCGGCTGCGGTGGTGGCAGTGAAGAACTTCGGTAATGTTTTGATGACTGGGCAACCTTGTGCGTAAATGCCAGCGCCGCTTGGCGTGTATAGTAGATGAACGCGTTAAGTGAAAGTTCGGTTCTGGCTAGGCACCGTGAAATCACGTTAAGTGAAACCGTTAAGCGGTACAACTGTTTATACCACCACCATACCACCATACCATACCATACCATACCATACCATACCATACCACCTCATACCATTCCTGTACTGTACTGTACTGTACTGTACTATACTGTCGATGCTATACTATACTATACTGTAATGTACTGTACTATACTGTACTATACTATACTGTACTGTACTATACTATACTGTACTATGCTGTACTGTACTATACTAGACTATACTGTACTATACTGTACTATACTGTACTATACTATACTGTACTATACTATACTATACTGTACTGTACTATACTATACTATACCACACTATACTATACTGTACTATACTATACTGTACTGTGCTATATACTATACTATACTATACTATACTATACCATACCATACTATACTATACTGTGCTGTACTGTACTGTGTCTATACTGCTATACAATACTGTACTGGACTGACTGTGCTGTACTGTACTGCTATATATACTGCTGCTATACTATACTATATACTATACTATACTATACTATACTATACTATACTATACTATACTATACAGTAAAAGTCCAAAATCAGGACCACCGAGAATCCGGATTCAAAACTAAACTTTTTTTTAAGCTGGCTTTGTGTGATGTGTTTATCGTAGCGCCTGACTGCACAGCGACAACAAGCGACCACGATCCGCCACTTTAAAAGCGAGCAATCAAACTGTGACAAGCGTATGTAATTTTGGTCCTACTCTCCATTTACAGAGCCCATAATAATGTCCTAAAGTAGATAAACTTCATTGTGTGAAGAAAAGAACGTTGAAATATAAGGGCCTGTGCCATATAAAAATTTTTTACTTTAATACTACAACCATTGGTAGCGTGGCGAGGAGGCTCGGTGGGTATATGTATTGATAGTATCAAGTAATAGGGAAGAAATAACGGTGAATACTGGGTTAAGGAGACAATATACAAATACAATATTTATTTAGACATTAAAATAGGTAGGGAAAGTAATATATGTACCAACATGTGAAACCTGGTACTATGCCCTCAGGCTTAAAATACTCACACCACTCACAGGTGGACATCTCAATAACACTCACACCACTACTGGGGGACATACTCAATAACACATAAACTCTTATAGTAACTCACCATAAAGACCAGGGACAACTGCCACTACAACACTCAGTCGTCAGGAGTGATACTCAAGCAACCGCCATGGGGTCCTGCCACCATGGGGTGCTTCTGAACTCTGAAGATCCCAGTGGAATAACACAACCACACCTTCTACTGGTTAGACACTCATCCACCACTGATGGGGCTGGTAGTTGTGTGTGGTTTGATGATCGGGGTCACCTCCCGGGCAGCGTTAGGGTCAGCAGCTATGGGCCCATAGGTAGTCTGAAGTGTCTGGCGGTGGGTCTCACGAAGATAACTGATCCTATGGACCTCGGACATCTCTCCAGACATAGTGGGCACAACATCACGCTACAGACACGGCCCTAGGCTGTTTAGACCTATATGGGTGAAGGCGAGCACTAACCGTGACCGACATCACGTTTCAGGGGCGTTAAAGAGCGTAAATATTACTTCACTCAAGCAAATCCTTCACGTTACTGTAACACTTGCACAATCAACTATTGGGTCAAATCATAAGAAGGGCAATTACAACACAGAGTGGAATGACCTACCTGTATGGGTGAAGGCGACACTTACTAACGGTTGAAATGCCCGCGGCACCCTCACTCAAAATAGGTCAGAGTCCACCTACTTCTATTCAATGAATTACTTTACTGTCACCTCTGGCGTTAAAACTGAGACTATGAACTCAGTTTCATTCCCTACTATTATCTTCACTAACAATGCTCTGACTGAGCTGTCAAAGCAAAAATTAAATTGATTACAAAGGGTTGGATGGAACAGGTCCCAACATACAGCGTCTTGCCAATCCGCGGATTATATTCAAAGTTTCCTTCAGACAAAAGCGGCCTCTCGATGGCGTCATCAAAAACAGAAAGCGAGACGTTTCCTGGGGTCAGAAAGGTTTTGTGGAGCGTTTGGCGTATATGAATAAGGTTTTTGGTTAGCCGTCATCACGATCATGAGAGATATTGGTGACAAACTGTAAATAATTAAAATAAACGTGGTGTGAGCAATACTTTCTAATGAAACATCCGACATTGGAAAGTCTACAATTTATGATATAAAAAGGCAAAGAATAAATTTTAGAATTCACAGCTTTTCATTAAAACTGCTCGTTTGATAAATGAAGCATGCTATATTTGCTATTGAATAAACTATCAAAATATATCTGTTCATCTCTTCTTTATTCCTCCTTAAATTTGAATTTTAAAAGTACTGCCTGAGAATCGGAAAATCCGAAAATCGGACCTACCCAATCCAACAGTCTGGATTTTTGGACTTCCTGTACTGTACTGTACTATACTGTACTGTCTATACTATACTATATACTATACTATACTATATATATATACTATATATGTACACTGTACATTACTGTGCTATACTATACTATACTGTACGGTGCTGTGCTGTCTATACTGTGCTATTGCTGTATATATATATATACTATATATGCAGTTGCTGTGCACTGTTACTATGCACTGTACTATACTATATCCTATACTGTGCTATATGCTGTACTGTGGTATACTGTACTGTGCTGTACTATGCTATATACTATGCTCTACTGTACTGTACTATACTATAGTATGCTGTACTGTACTATACTGTACTGTATATACTGTGTACTATACTATACTGTGCTGCACTGTGTGTGCTATACTTATACACTGTGCTTTATACTGTGCTGTGCTATACTTGCTATA